TTTTTTTTCTGTATGTTGTTGAATTTCAGGTTGATAGCAGAAACTCCTCCGCAGCCAAACGTGCTCGGACAGATGGTAAGCTGATTATCTCGATTGGTGGATCCTTGTTTTGCCTTTTTTTGTTTCCAAAACATGTATGGATATGTACTTTGTGCCTTTAAATGAGGAAATATATGACACGGATGTTATGGGTTTCGTTGTAATTGCAGAAAGTTAAAAGCATTTTTTTGTATATCTGGAAAAAAATTGCAGTGTAATTGATTCAGTTTTTGTGTTACTAGCATTTTTAGGTTCCAAAGTAGGAACAGTGTGACTAAGCCAAGAACAGTTTCTCTCAGCTTTTTTTTTTTTTTTTTTCTCGATTTGAGCTTTGAAGTGTTTGCTATTTATTTTCTTGCGATGGAAACATTCCTCATGTGTAAGTTTGTTGATTTGATGTTTATGTTGGAAGAACATCTTGAGTTGGTGCAATTGGATTGGTTCTTAGTTTCTGATGATTTGTTTTCCATTTTCATGTGTATCTCTTATTTCTTAAGGGTCTAAATTGGTTGTGTACTTTTATGCATGGTGTGAAACATATCATTTTTTAGCACTTCAAAGCGAGTAAGTTGGAAAAGATTGTTGATTTTATTGTTGCAGTCTTTGTATATGAATGAATAATCACCCTTCAGTATGAAGATTATCATGTGGTTTGTTTGTTCCAACTACATGTATTGAGCTATCTTCTGATGCATATAGCCGACTACATCAGGATTGCTTTAACTTATCATGATATCTGCATTCAACTTTTGGAAGACCCCACGATAAAATATAAACTTTTTAAAATGATAATCTTTCAGTAAACATTCTAAATAAAATTAAAAGTCACGTATGATGCCTTTTCAGCTGGCATGAGGTCTTGAAAAATTGGCTTGGTTTTGTTAGTTAATTTTAAACCTGTCCCATATGTAGGTGGCCGCAGGGAAGATGACTGGACTTGTCCTAGCTGTGGCAATGTAAATTTCTCTTTTAGGACGACATGTAATATGCGCAACTGCACTCAGCCAAGACCTGCTGATCACAATCCGGTAAGAACTATAAATATTAGTAAATGAATGTATGATGTTGATCTGTTTTTATTAATTGACTGTTATTATAATTTATTTTATGTTGGAGTTTATTGTTGAGCTATATATGTGTTCGCAAGTGTTATAGCAATTTGCACTTCTCTACATGGGTTCTTATGAATTACTATCGGATATAGAAGAGAACTGAGAACGTTCAACTGAACGAACTGTGAGTTTGGTGTACCTCTCTTCCTCTTTTTCTCGTTTTCTTTCAAATGAAGAAAAGAAACATCATAAATCACATTGCTGGACGTCCGCAGATGTAGTTTTCAGTATATTTATTTTATTATCTGCTTGTTCTGGTATGGATTTTACCATTCATGGAGAAGGTATACAATACAACTTATTATGTTCTGTAGATGATGGTATAACTCTTACCCCATCCTTTATCTGGAAAAGATATATCTCTTTAACTTTTGTGTTTTTTTCTTTTTCAATTAATTTTATGAGCGTCTTGATTTCGTCTAGATTTTGCCTGATCTATTAAGTCTATTTCAGAAATATGCTGCCAAGCCTGTGCCAGCGCCTCAAGGATACTTATCAGGTCCCCATGGCCATATAGGCTCTGGTGGACCCTCCTCCATGTACATGGGTATGTCACCTTATGGCTCTTCAGTGTTTAATGGAACATCTATGCCTCAATATGATGTTCCATTTTCTGGAGGCTCAGCATATCACTATAACTACTCTGGCCGGTTTTCTGGAGGGAGCCCTTTTCGGCCCTTACCTTTTTCTGGGCCCCCTTCCTACTCAGATGGACCAATAATGCGAAACAGTATAGTCTCTATCCTGGCTGTAATTTCTTACATTCACGTTCATTGCTTGTTCTTTCATGTCTCTTGTCTTTTCTTACCTTGTAGGTGGCATGTACGGGTTGCCACCTGTGATGGATCAATATGGTGTTGGATTCCGTATGAGCCCTGGCGTGGTAAGGTTTCTGTTGTCAATTCATCATTGTCTGTCTCTTTGATGGAAGCTGTGATTGGTTTAATCTTATTTTTATACGTCTGTTTTTTTTTTTTTTTTTTTTTT